CACTTGATAAACCCATAATGCCATTGTAAGTGTCCAAAAATGTGTCTATGAATGACTCAATGTATTAAATTTCTTAAGAGGAGAAGGATTTTACAACAAAGACAGTAAAAAATATCACAAAATGTCTTTTAAAATAAATCAATAGATTATAAAAGTCAGAAAACAAACCAGTGAAATACTGGCAGCATACATATGCACAGATAATTATTTAATAATTTGCTACATAGAAAATTCATAGCAACAAAAGTATTGTACACATAATGTACTCTATACTCTTCTCATTTGCTGCTTGTGGGAATATAATTGGAGACATTCTAGAAGACAATCTGATAAGATGCATCAAGTACATTATGAATACTGTTTATTTCAGGCATTTGTGCTGAAGATTCTACTAAAGCTAACTATTTGGGTCTGTGATAATGTATATGCTAGGATAAAATAATATTCATGGCTTTTAACAGATGAAAATATTGGAAACATCCAAATGTCTATCAACACCAGGTCCCAGACCATCATGGAACTATAAAGAACCATTAAAGAATTAGAGACTGAGGTAGGAGGATTGAAAATTCAAGGCAAGTCTCAGAAACTTAAAAAGATCCTCAGCCATTTACTGTGACCCTGTCTCAAAAAATAAAAAGGGCTAAGAATGTAGCTCAGAGGTAAAACACCCCTATATTGTCCCCCAAATTGTGCCTGATTTTTATATGAGAAATTTTGGGTGTAAATGAAATAATTCAAACTAAAAACAGCATGTTCACACAATACTGTGATTTATGCATAATACCACAAAATGGATACTCAAAAATGATTAAAATTGTAAACTTTGTATTATACATTTTATCATAATTTTAAAATCCAGCATGTTTGATTAGTTTTCATAAACATTAAGAAAAATATTAAGTTATAAAATAATATTATGAAGAAAATATTTATTCTGAGTGATAAAAATATGAATGATTTTCACTTCTTGATCCTTTGATAAATTTCTCAGTTTTTATAGAGTACATACATAATTTTCAATTGTTTTACTCATGTTAATATTATCATTACTAAAAACAATAAAGCTTCTACTTTGGAAAAAAAGTTCATCCCATAGATAGTGAAATTGAGCAGAGAAAAATTATAGACATTTCAAAATAAATAATAATATAAATATATGAGAACTTGTTCAACATTAACAATTATCAAACTTATGCCTACAAAGTGAAAATAAATGATGTTTTCAAATATCAGCTTAGCAACTTTTGGGTTGTTTTATTTTCTTTTAAGACAATACCTAATGCTGGTGCATTAATTACTGGTGCCTCCCAGTTACCACACATTTGAAATGTAATCACCAGTTAATACCTTTTTTGTCCTACCCATTTGCTTTGTACTCCACCAAGCCCTGATGTCAGTGCTATAAAAGAGCCCTCTCTTCTCTCCCTCACACCTATGTGAGGCATCATTCCAAGCTGTTGTCCTTCATCCATCTAAAGCTGCTTTCTCATGTGCCTTACCCTTCACTCTCCATTCCAGTCTTGGGTTTTCTCACTTTTGATGCCATGATTTCTCTTCATATTTATGGCCTCTTCTTATTGCTCAAACTGAATTACTAATCTTCCTGTTACCCCCTTGTGTGTCTCATGAGGCATGGTGAACCCTAATTAATACAGCTGGAAGATCATGATAATCCTCAGTTTTCTTTAAATTTATTGCTTTGTACTAAATCAATTTGTGTCTCAAAACCACCACTCCCAGTGACCTGTGTCATGCTTCACTAGTAGATTCACTTTATATGGCAATTCATATCTTCAAATTAGTATTGCTGTGAATTCCAGATTAACTTTATTTGCAGGAGTCCTTATGTACCTCAAGCCACATACACACAGATAATGTTTAACTACATGCAGACATGGAATTCAGGATGGAAATTATGAGTCTCCCAAGTCCTACCTAAGACTGAATAGAATCCAGCAAGGTCCCAAGGCCAACATAGACCCCTGAGTCATTCCTTCAAAACATGGCCAGTAACTCTTGGCCTGACCTTTATAAATACTCAAGGAAATGCAGGGACAATTTAAGGAAGAGTGTGTATTATTGATATATTTGAATTTTTAGTTTTGGAGATTCTCTGTATTTGACATGAAAAGTAGAAAATGTATTCCTTCATTGAAAGAAAAAAAAAACTAGCTCAGTAAATGCTTTTTTCTCTGTCGATTTTATGTCCTATAAGCAAAGCAGTTTAAGTGGGAAAAAAGCACTACAATGAAATACAAGTTTGGGGGTGTATTTGTGCTCACAAAAAAAAGATGTTCAAAAAGGCAATGGTACTGACTTCCACGCTCCTACAGGCACCCCCATAATCCCTAAAATCTAGTCTTTTAAAAAATATATTTGGAAGACTGACATTTCAGCAAGTAGTCTCATTTTTTTTTTGTCAGAGATTAAGAACTTCCAAGCTAGATAAAAGAGCTGCTTGCATAACAAGCACATCCTGTAAATAGGTTTACCTTAGTTCTCTAACAAACCTGTGTTCTATGCGGCAACATATATGAGTGTAGCTTAATGAGAAACTGGCCAGATCAATCTCAGTTTCCCAGGGTATCACAATCACTGCATTTGCTCATCCATAAGCATCTTCTGAGTCTTACTCTTGGACCAATCATTGGTATACAATAGGTGGCTATGCCTTTTGGTCACATTGGCAATGAAAAAGTCCAATTTTCCTTTCCGTACTGAAAATTCTTGAGGCTGATTTTAGCACATTGTGAGGTGGGGAGGGACTAATGAATTTTAAGTCTGTAGGCTTTAAGTCTTATTTTCAGCATCATTCAATACAACTAAGTATTCGTTCTCTGCAAACACTTTTCTCTGACTTCTTACAAATGATACTCTCTTGACTTTTGTCCTACCTCACTGGTGGCTCCATCCTGTTTTCCTTAACTGGCTCTTCTTCCGGTCTTGACCTCTATCCACTGGAAGTCCTGTGGGCTGCTCAGTCCCAGTCCCCTATTCTTCTATGCTTTCTCTTTTCCTAAAGTAACCACCCCCATCCCCATGGATTAAAATTGCTCTTTATGTAGTGACAACTCCTCATTTACTTATTTGCTACTCAAAACCTTCTGCTGACCTCCAGACTAGCACATCCAGCAGCCTTCTATGTGCCATTTGGAGTTTCCTAGACATCCACCCTCGGCCTATCCTAGTTGATTTCTGGCTCCTGCCTCCCCCACCATGTATCTTCTTTCCTGGGATTGAGTTGATTAAAGATTCACATGCAACTATAAAAAAATCAATACCATATACCCTTTACCCATTTTCTCCCAAAGGCAACATCTTATAAAACTATAGTATAAAATCAGACCTAGGATATTGACATTGATATAACCCAACCCACAGGATTCCCCGGTTTTAAGTGTGCTTGTGTATGTGCGTGTGTGTCTGTGTGTGTGTGAGAAACTTCTTCAAATGTCCACCACATAGTCAAGATATAGAACAATTTCATCACCACAAGAATCCCTTGCATTGTTTTTATGCTCTTTTCTAATCTACTCTAACCCTCTTCCCATGTCCTAATGCCAAACACTAATATGATCTCCCTATCTCTGAATTCTCCTGATTTATTATATGAATTGAATCATTCAGTATATAGCTTTTGAAGATTGGCTTTGTTCACATGTGTAACATAATTCTCTTCAGATTCATCTAGTTGTTGCATATATCAGTCCTTCTCCCTCCTCTGAATTGCTGAGCAGTCGTACTACAGCTTGTTTAATCCTTTACTCATGAAGGACATTTGCATTACTTCCTCTTTTTAACTATTAACCATAAAACTACTATGAATGGTCAGCTATAGGTTTTATGTGAACAAAAGCTTTCATAATTGAGGAATGCAAATTTCTGAATCTATGGCAGTATGGTATTTAACTTAATAAGAAACTGTCAAACTTTTTTGCAGAGTAGCTGTACCACTTCATATCCCCAGTACCTCACCAATTGAAGGATTACCTCTTTCTTGGTATGAAGTCTTTCAGATTCAAGAAAACATTGCTTGCCTGAGATTTACATCTCCAGCATTCTCAAGACCTGAATTGTCACCTGTTGGTTAACTAAATTTCTCTGAACTGCAATTTGTGAGAGTCAAATTACAGATTTGTAATATTGCTAGACTATTAGATGAAGTGAACTTCATCTTCTCAGGCTTTGCTTCCCTATTAGTCTTTCCCACTCTGCAGAAAACTTAAAAATGCTTTTCTGGGCTTTTGATCCTAAAGTAATACCAGTTAAGAGTCAAGGGAAAACAAGAATAAGCCACACTGCCTTGAACTTCATCCCTCTGGTAGGACTATGTGACTTCAGTGTTTGGTTTTTTTTTTTCTTTACACAATTCCTAGAATCCCTTGGCAATCCTAGGATCACTAAATGCTGGATGCAATGGACAGGGTCATCTAAGGTCCACTACCTGTTGGTGTTCTAGGAAGAGGTTATCTTTTCTCCTCCATAGGCTTGAAGTTCACAAAGAGCCACCTCAATCCAGATGAGTGAATTCTAAATCAAGAACAAAATTTGACACATTGTGAACAAACATGACTAGAAGGTGTCATCAAGATCACCTTTCCCCAACAGGAAAATGCCCTCATCTGACAATATCCACGCAGATTTGTCTTTATGTTGAAAGATAAACTCAATCCAGGTATATTGACTCCATCAGGCAAATATTATGAAATCTGGAATAGGCTGAGGAGGCGAAGGGAGAAACATTATTAACATGATGTGGACAGTCCTGATACTTCCCACATTCTGGGTTCTTTCTCCTTATCATTTCTTTTTCTGCCTTTTTCAGTCATTGTACTGTCCACATACTGCCTTCATTCTCAGTCTTATTTTTTTCCAGGCATACTAATGGCACAGGCACAACAGATCTTTGTAGGCCTTGCCCCAACCTTCCCAGGGACCACTGGAGCAACACCCCAACATCAACACCACCCTCAAACCAAAACACACCTAGCCCTACGTCCACTGGATAATGAGTATATTTTTCAGAAAAGAAAATAATTCACTGTTTTCAGAAAAACATTCCTGGTCCAAAGATCCTCAGTGTAGTTAGGCAGGGAAAGTAGTCTTGGAGGGAGCTTTCATGTCCCGGGCTTTCGACCTGGTTTCCATTCAGTTGCTGAAGAGTGACCTGAGGGTATGCAAAGATTTCTTACTCAAGTCTGAAGATGTAATGTCTCCCCTCCATTCCTAGCACTACCATGCCTATTTATATGCCTTTCCTTGAGCTCTAGCATCACCTTGTTGGGAAAAACAAGAACAGAAAAGAGACTGTGCACTGGTCACCATCACCTGCCTAGGTCTATAGTACCTAACAGGAAATAAAAATAGCAAGATTACTATACAGATGTTTGCCACATCTATTGCTCCTTCAGATAGAGGCTCACTGGGTTGGTATAGAAAGGTCACTAATGGTCACTAATGACAACCTATATTTGGTAGCAAGAGATAAACAGGGTCAGAACAACCTTCCATACATACACACAGAACTGGAAGTTCTGGAAATAACTTAGTCACTTGTGGGCAAGCAGACCCTAATTCTGCTCTGCCCCTCAGGAGCAACATGAACAAACCAGAGCAGGTGAATAGGTCATGGCAGCCTCTCTTGTTTCAGGACCATGTGCACCATGTACAACAAACATAAAGCCAGCTCTTCTGTGTTGACCTTTGTCAGGACATCTAGTCCCTGGTGGCAACTTTCCTTGCCTCTAGTGGCTCTTAATCACTAGAATCCTCTGGGTTAGTCTGTTCAGGATTTTATAACAGAGTATCACAGATTGAGTGACTTATGAACATTAGAGATTAATTTATCATAATTCCAGAAGCTGGAAATCCAAGATCAAGCCAATGATCTAGTAAGAGTGGAGTTCTTACTTCATAGCCATGTTCTTGCATAGTGGAAGGATCAAGGGAGCACCCTGGGGTCCTTTTTATGAATACTAATCCCATTCACCAGGGCTCCTCCTTCATGACCTAATCACCTCCCAGAGCCCCTGTTTCCAAATACCCTGGGGATTAGATTTCAACATAGGAATTTTAAAGGGACGGGAATATTTGGTCAATAGCATCCCTTTTTGAGTTGTTCAGGTTCTTTTCTTCCCACCAACAATATAAAATCTCCTCCCACTTTTACACAAAACAATTCAGCTCTCCCATGTCCTTGTACTCTAGTCCACAGACCTAAAGCCATCTTGATTTGGAGCATTTCTCATAATCCAACCTCAGAAGAAAGAAGTTGCAGTTATGCATAACAATATCTTTGTTTTGAATCACACTGATTGCTATTTCCTCCATGCCGTTTCCTGGTCTTTTGTTTTGGTTTTCCCTCCTACTTTTAAACTTTTCGCCAAGATCTTTGTTATATTCTCAACATTTAAAAATATAGTAAGGTTATTCATTTGATGGCATAAATGCATATGATTTATGAGGGGTGTGTGTATTCTATCTCCCCATATTACCTAGGCATATAAAGCTGATTTTCATTTTGATGAATACAGTTTACCTATTTGTTCTTTTTCCTGCATCTGCTTTTATTGTCATATTTAAGAAATAACTGCAGAATCTGTATACAGGATGTGTTTCCATTTATTTGTTCTTTGATTGCTTTTGGCAGCCTTTAGTAGTTACTACACCTTAAGTTTTATATGCATATTATAAATATGGCATAATGAATCCTACACTATTATATGTAATTATAATGCACCAATAAAAATTTTAAAGAGTTTTATATGCATAAAATTCTCAAGAAGGACAAAAAAGAAGCTAGTAATAATTGTCACAGTGCTGGGTATGGAGATAAAAACAACAGATGGAGGAGGCCTTTATGTACTTCATTGTACCTCTGGGGTTTTCCTTTCGTGCCTGCATTCTGTGAATCAGAACCACAAACCGAGTGAGGTAAATAGGGCACCAGTGGCTCAGGTGCTGACCCTGCCCTTGCATGAACCTAAGAGTGAGTACCTTCTCAAGTTTTGTGCTCCAGACCCTCTCCTGAGACCCTGCCTTTGATAAATGGCTTGCCACTAATCCTTATCTCAGGGTCTGCTGCAGGGAAGCCTGCCCAAAGATACCCTCTACTCTCTGCCAACATGTTGTAGAGACATGTCTCAGGGACATTTCCCTTGTTAACCCTTTTGGCAAGTAGGAGACTTCTACCATCTCCTGTTCTACTCCATCACAAAAATGCTGGTTCTTCCCTCAGTATAAATTACTTGGTTTTCTATGTTTACTTACTATTTCTTTCACACAGGTTGTACCCTCCATAATTGTCCTAGCACAGTTTCCAGCATAAGATAAGCACTTAAAATACACCTGTTAAGAAAAAAGAATAAGAAGAGATGGATAGATGGATGGAAGGACAGAGGGAGAGATTTATTCCTTGAGTGTCAAAACAAAGTTCAAGGAAAATAGCTTTTTACGTTGAGGAAGTTGAGATTTTAAATTCAAGCATCATTATAAAACCTTAATAAATAAAATAGTACATGTTAAAACATATTTCTAAAGATGTATTTAGACCCAGGACTCTAAGGGAAAATATTGTTTCTGAATATCACTTCTTATTGTCAAATCTGTCCATCTCATCTGGATCTGATTTAGTTGGATCTTCCTGCTGCTTTTTATTTTCCTTTTTTTCTCACTGAAATATTCCTACATTTCCATTATGTCATGTATTTTGTAACCATAGCTTAAATATCTGGTTTCTTCAAAAATCTCTGGGCCAGCAAATCTGTTTTGCCTCAGATAAGCTCCAGATTTGTAACATAATCATATAATTTATGCACTTGGGAGCTCCTTTTTCCGGCCTTCCCTTTATACAAAGAAAACTTTCTACAAGTTTCCAGGACACTGAGATTCTTTTTTTCCAAAATATTATGCAAATACAAAGGTGCCTCTCCCCTCAAGGTCCTATAAATGTTTTCAGACATTGGAGATTCCCACAATATTCCTTTGTAGCAAGAGCCAGAATCCAAGAGGAATGGAGACACTGAGCTCAGGCCCCAGAAGCCAATTTCATGTAGGAAAACAGAGGGTGAAGCCTCCCTTCCAACATGCAAAAAACTTTGCTGGCTCCTGAGCCTACAGGAAGGTGATCAATGGGACTCTCTGTGCGTGAACGTTTTTGTATAGCTCTGTGCCCTCCACCATAGTAGCTTTTGCTTGGATGTTTAAAGGTTTGCTCTGGAACAGATTGATAAACATGTTCTATAAAGTACCAGATAGGAAATATTATAGACTTTTTGGTTTACATGTGATCTCTTTTGTATGTTTTGTTTGTTGTGTTTTTTTTTCTTTTTAATAACCCTTTTAACATGAGAAGCTGATCCCTAGATTGCTGGTTATACTAAACAGGTCACAGGAGAGATTTGACCCATGGGCCATAGTCTAGTGAACTCTGATCTAGAAGATGCCAGGAAAAGAGTTTGTTTATCTGTGCTTCTTGTGATTTCCTTTTTGATCCCTTCTCTGACTTCCAGTTTATTGGAATAAACCTCCTGACTGTCTCTACCTAATACTACTACTCTGGTCTGTGCTAGACCCTGCACCAGGGTACATTCATTGCAGAACCTCACTGAAGAATCTTTCAAAGTTAGGGTTTATAAATTGAAAAATTGAGATGTACACTAAATAACCTCCCAAGATCATACTGAGTCAAGAAGCAAAATTAATCCTGATTCTAAATCCCTCCTTTGCTCTTTCCACTAAACTTGACAGTACCAGCTTTCCCTATTTCCTATCTACTTCCAATCCATTGTACATCACTTTACTCAATCAGTCTTCCTATATATCAGTTTAAAGACATTTGATCATGACATTTCCCTTGTACCACTTGAAATCCACTGTACTGTATATGTTTTCCATATAACAATGCATTCAATTTCTTCATTTTCTTCACCCAGAAAGTGTTTGGAATCTTTCGTGGCTCTTCAGTACTTAACAAATATAGTGAGAGCTCTACCACTTTGCTCTGATTTGACCTCAGCTTAACTTCTAAGCTTTATTTACCTACCCCCTATGGTTTTCTATATTTGGTCACGCTGAGTTATCCTATGCTTTCTCCCAATGGAACTTTCCCATTGCCCAAATGGCCATTTCCCACTGCCATATTTTTCTTCATGCCATCTCCTCCCTCCTCACGTCTCCATATAGAGTCATCCGTTGGTATCTGTGGAGGATTGATTCCAGGATCCTGCGGATATCCAAATCCTTAGATGCTCAAGTTCCTTGTATAAAATGGCATTCTATTTGCATGTAACTTATGCACACATCCTCCTGTACACTTTAAACCACCTTTAGATTATTGGTAATACTCAATACAATGTATATGCTATGGAAATAATTGTTATACTGTATTATTTAGGGAGTAATAATGAGAAAAGTCTACATGTGTTCAATACAAATGCTGGTTTTCCCCTAATATTTTCATCCCATGATTGACTAAACCCATGTAGAAGAATCTGCAGATTCAAAGGACCAACTCTATCTCCTTCTTGTTCATCCCTTTGTCTTCTCCAGGAAGCCTGTGCTATGGACCCTCTTCTTCCAGGTAGAGGTGGTGAGCTCCACTTAGTAGAGCTATGGCCCTTTGCTTACAACTCTATTCCAGGAATTAAACTTGGTCAGGGAAGAAATGTAAGAAATGGGCATGGCATAGCCATCTGGTCCCTGACTCTTGGAGGTGAGGAAGTGCAGCAACCCTCACCTAGGCATGGTGATGGCATCTGCCAGCAAACTAGAACAAACACTCAAGGTCTGCAGGACTTGGCATATGTTTTGTTTGATAGTCTGCTGTTTCTTTTAAGAGCATAATTCTGCTTTAGCTAGAGTTTTCCCTAAGAGAGAGCTTCCAATTATTCACTACTCAAGCTTGATCTTGTAAGATGGAGCCTTGGCTTTGGTTAGTACTGAAACTCCCTTCTCACATTCTATCGTCATTCATGTCTTCAGCTTTCTAGACAGCTCCTATACTCATACACATCATTGTATTTACATATTTAACGTACTTCATACTTGGCACACTATTTTCAAATGTATTCTCACATTTAATCTTCATTTTTTAAAAAAAATCTTGTAAAGCCAATGATATATCCTCGGTTTAATCATCTATAAACTGGAAGAAGTTAATGAGTTTGTACAAGAATCACAGTGTGTCCTCACTGAGCACCAACATTGCCTGTAAATACTATCTTGTGTATATACATGGCAGCTCCATATCCATACATGTGAACTTCCTTCTACACATTGATTAAAAATGCCTATAACCACAAAATTGGGTAGAGAAGGAAGGGGCAGAAAGAAAGGACAATAAATATCTGAAGATGGTTCTGTCCCAGGAACTACTTGACAATTTCTATAAGGCTATAACACTTTATGTTATGAAGGAAATTTTTCTTTCCCTAATGTAACATCTTTTACTCTGCAGGCATGCCTTTGTCTCACCCAATCACCCATGAGGACTTGTAACACAAAAATTCTATTTCTGAATCTGATATATCAAACAGCCTTGGGGAAGAAAAAATACATACTCCTAAGGGAGTGTGTGAGCATATGTGTGTGCATACATATATGAGTAAGTATATAAATATATTTAATAGCTCCAGGAAAGATGCACAAAGTAGATATAATTGTCACAAGGTATTGATTGCATATATCATGTGTAAAACTGGAGAAGATGTGACTATTAAAAAGAAAACTCCAATGTTTAAATAGAGAAAAGAAAAAGGTAAACAAGAATGATAGAAACTGAAACTACTTCAATGCTCATTCACACTCACCAGCAAGAAATGAGACAGATCTGAGGTTAGCAGAATTGATATGAATGGCCTCGTTGTCATAGTTTCCAGCTAAGAACTTACCTTCGGGCAAACCATAACCAATTTACAACCTCTGCTCAGCATATCCTGAATCAAAATTATTAAGTGCATAAATTTTGTCTTTGGGGAAATTTTCTCATATCACTTCTGATGTTTGTTCATTCATTCATCCATCCATTCATTCATGCACACATGCATAGTTGCATACATTCAAGAAGCATTTCTTCAGTTCCTGCTATGAGCCACACAGTCTGGTAGGTGCTATTACTGGCAGAGAGCTAATCAAGTAGTAGAGATCAGGCCTCACAGAGCATAAAAGAAGTGTCAGCTCCTATTTGTGAAGTGCTCCCAATATGCCATTAATTATCCCATTAATATGCACAAATACCCCATGCAGTAAGGTTCTTATTCTGAAAACTGTGGTAGTGAGGGTGCTCAGGAATTTTCCCAACATCCTGCCCAGTGCCCTCTGCCTTGGACCCGGGCTTCATGTGCTCTGCTATACTGCAGCACAGTCTTGCACAAATCTCATATGAGAAATGAATTTAATTTTAAATTTCTTAGTAGCCACACTTGAAAAGAGGTAAAAAGAAACAGGGGAAAATAATTTTAGTTATGAATTTTGTTTAACCCAATATATCACAAAATACTACTCTATCAATGTAAGTACAAAAGTTATTAAGATATTTCACAATTTTTCAGCTCCCAAATCCATGTATGTTCTACATATACTGAACATTTAATTGAACAGGCCACCTTTCCAGGGCTCAGTGACAACCTGAGGCTAATGACAATTGTATATCTAAAGCCTTTTCTCCTGCATTTACACTGGATCCCATGTGGGTACAGGTGATAATGACCAAAGAATAAGGCAAGGGTCAGTCTCTGTGAGGATATAGAGAGAAGCTTGGTTACTCCCCCATGGGTTAGGATATTGGGAAGAGAAGCCTTCAAAAAAAAAAAAAGCTATTTAGCCAGACCTTGAAAACAAGGAGGGAACCCATGAGAGCAGAGGAAAGTTCTCCTAGGCTGGGTGAGCAGGCAGAGCAGAGGGAGAAGGGCTGAGAAGCCCAGCCTGTGAACATGAAGGTCAACACCACTTCACACTGCCTGGAGCATGGGATCATGGGAAGGGATCATCCCTGGGTGCAATGTGTTCACATTATGTGTTCTTAACTTTTTTAAGAACCATGTTTTATACACCCTCACTACCACAGTTTTTAGAATAAGAACCTTACTGCATGGGGTATTTGTGCATATTAATGGAATAATTAATGGCATATTGGGAGCACTTCACAAATAGGAGCTGACATTTCTATTATGATATGTGAGGCCTGATCTCTACTACTTGATTAGCTCTCTGCCAATAATAGCACCTACCAGACTGTGTGGCTCATAGCAGAAACTCAAGAAATGCTTCTTGAATGTATGCATCTATGCATGTGTGCATGAATGAATGGATGAATGAATGAATGAACAAATTTTCTCATATCACTTCTGC